TTCCCTCTCCATACTTTGCAGAGTTGGGCTTGGCTCAAGCGCCTCTCTTGCCAGTAGGATCATGGGATGGAAAGATGATTTTCTTTTCTTTTTCGGTGAAAAAATATCCCTGCTCCGTTCCCACCCCTGGCTGAGCCACTGACCCAAATTTGGCATCCAAGTTCCTGTATTCGAAAGCTAAAGAGAAATCCAGGCCTGAGATAAAGAGGGAAAGGATGGATTGGCAAGCAGTTTTAAAAAGCTGGAGTATATTCCAATGCTCTCTAAATATTTTGGATGGCAAGTCCCATCATCCCTTAACACAATCTTCCTAATGCCGCAACCCCTTAATACAGTTCCTCATGTTGTGGTGACCACCAACCATAAAATTATTTTTGTTGCTACTTCATAACTCTAATTTTGCTACTGCTATGAATTGTAATGTAAATATCTGATGGGCCAGATGTATTTTCATTCACTGGACCAAATTTGGCACAAATACCCAATACACCCAAATTTGAATACTGTGGAGTTGGAAGGGGGATTGGTTTTGTCATTTGGGAATTGTAGTTGCTGGGATGTATAGTTCAACTACAATCAAAGAGCATTCTGAACTCTACCAACGATGGAATTGAACCAAACTTGGCACACAGAACTCCCACGACTAACATAAATACTGGAAGATTTTGGTGGGCATTGACCTTCAGTTTTGGAGTTGTAGTTCGACTACATCGAGGCAGCACTGTGGACTCAAACAATGGTAGTTCTGGACCAAACTTGACACGAATCCTCAATCTGCCCAAATGTGAACACTGGTAGAGTTTGGGGGAAAATAGACCTTGATATTTGGGAGTTGTAGATTTATAGTTTACCTACAATCAAAGAGCATTCTGAACCCTACTAACAATAGAATTGGGCCAAACTTCCCACACAGAACTCCCATGACCAACAGAAAATACTGGAAGGGTTTGCTGGGCACTGACCTTGAGTTTTGGAGCAATGTTCACCTACATTGAGGGAGCACTGTGGACTCAAACAATGATAGTTCTGGACCAAACTTGACCTGAATCCGCAATTTGCCCAAAAGGGAACACTGCTCAAGTTTGGAGAAAATAGATGTAGTCATTTGGGAGTTGTAGTTGCTGGGATTTATAGTTCACCTACAATCAAAGTGTATTTTGAACCCTACCAAAATAGAATTGGGCCAAACTTCCCACACAGAACCCCCTTGACCAACAGAAAATACTGATTATATTTGGTGACTCCACTGACACCCCCTTCACGACCCCCAGGTTGAGATACGCTGCCTTAACAGCACAACCTTTGTATGAGGTGGATGATGGGATCTGTCATTCCAAATGCCTAAGAAGAGGTCAGCTAAGGGAAAGCTGGTAGGTGTATTGCAACGCAGACCAGCATATTTTAAGTTACTTTAATTATGCCCAGCTTAACCGCAAGATGCCATCACTGGAAAAAGAAAAGGGAGTATTGGATGCGGCAAGATGCTCTCACCTTTACTCCTTCCCATTTTTATGGGGAAAGAAGGCAGTTTTTAGGATGGAACGAGACCGGAATAGTGTCATTGATAAAGGGGAGACCTCTTTCTGCACCAGGAAGGAAATCTGTGTATATGGTCTCACATATGCATGGCTAGACTTTGCATCCCTCATTCTTTACTTTTGTTCTGTATTTCCTTCCTGCAGCGCAGTGACCTCAGCTCCAGCCGAGGTTCCCACAAGGCTGGGAAGAAGGGAAGGTGAAAAAAAGGAAAGAAGGAATCCACGCAGCTGCAGGAGAGGCTGGGCTTCTCCTTTCTTCTTTTTTTCCCTTCCAAAGGGGAGCCAACATTCTTTCCAAACTGGCCCATGGCCACCTCCCAGGTTGAAGCCAGCCTGGGATCTCCCCCAACTTCCAAAAAACACATACGCACACTTCCATGAGCCAGCTGACAAAAGCAGAAGAATAAGTGCAAATCCCTGGCAACTCTTTCCCTACGGAGCCTGCAGGCCTGGGCTTCTAATATTTCCTTTGTGCAAAAAGAGATCCAAATAAGTTTAACACTCCCCAAAAAACAAAAATCTCTGTAGAGTTAAAATACAGCCTATTAGGTTATTAGAAGGAGAGGAAAATGCACTTTAGGCATGCTCAGAGGACCTCTTACAATGTGTGCCTTTAAGATGTTTCCAACACTATTTGGAGTCGCAGAGAAAAGTGGGGTAGAAATATCCTAAATAAAATAAAAATTTGTTCAGAACGGTTTGCCAGTCATTTACTCTGAGGCTGAGACAGTATGACTTGTCCAAGATCACATAGGTGGTTTCCATAGCTGAGTAGGAATTTAAATTCTGGCATCCAGAATCATAATCCAAATACCAGTACTTAAACCAATACATCATGTTGGCTCAAATACACACAGGTTGAGCAGAAGAGTTTGGAATTTGTTTTCAGATTTTGGAATATTGGTATTCAGGCACATAATGAGGTATCTTGGAGATGGGCTGCCAATTACAAAATTCACATATGTTTTCTGTAACCTTATACACATAGCTGGAAGGTAACATTATTCGCAGTATTTTAATATATTTTTGCCTGAAAAAAAGTTTGTGAATATTTGACCATCAGAAAGCAAAGGCGTCACCTTCTCAGCTGCCCACATAGACAGTTTTGGATTTTGGAATATGTCAAGTTAATCCTGGATTAGGAATACTCAATATCTATCTATCTATCTATCTATCTATCTATCTATCTATCTATCTATCTATCTATCTATCTATCTATCTATTTGGTATGGGCATACCAAATCACCCTCTCTCCTGAGGAATCTGTATAAGGACCAAGTAGCAACACTAAGAACTGACCATGGAACAACAGACTGGTTCAAGATTGGGAAAGGCGTACGTGCAGGGTTGTATAATCTCACCCAACCTATTCAACTTGTATGCAGAACACATCATGCGATGTGCAGGGCTTGATGAATGCAAGGCTGGGGTGAAAATTGCTGGAAGAAATATTAACAACCTTAGATATGCAGATGACACCACTTTGATGGCCGATAGCGAGGAGGAGCTGAGGAGCCTTCTAATCAAGGTGAAATAAGAAAGCGCAAAAGCTGGGTTGCAGCTAAACATAAAAAAACCAAGATTATGGCAACAAGAATGATTGACAACTGGGAAATAGAGGGAGAAAACGTGGAGGCAGTGACAGACTTTGTATTTCTAGGTGCAAAGATTACTGCAGACGCAGACTGCAGCCAGGAAATCAGGAGATGCTTACTTCTTGGGAGGAGAGCAATGTCCAATCTCGATAAAATAGTGAAGAGTAGAGACATCACACTGGCAACGAAGATCCGCATAGTTAAAGCAATGGTATTCCCCGTAGTCACCTACGGATGTGAGAGCTGGACCATAGGGAAGGCTGAGCGAAGGAAGATAGATGCTTTTGAACTGTGGTGCTGGAGAAAAGTTCTGAGAGTGCCTTGGACTGCGAGAAGATCCAACCAGTCCATACTTCAGGAAATAAAGCCTGACTGCTCATTGGAGGGAAGAATAGTAGAGGCCAAGATAAAGTACTTTGGCCACATCATGAGAAAAAGGAAAGCTTAGAGAAGACAATGATGCTGGGGAAAATGGAAGGAAAAAGGAAGAGGGGCCGACCAAGGGCAAGATGGATGGATGGCATCCTTGAAGTGACTGGATTGACTCTAAAGGAGCTGGAGGAGGTGACGGCCGACAGGGAGCTCTGGCGTGGGTTCTGGTCCATGAGGTCACGAAGAGTCAGAAACGACTGAACGAACGAACAACAAATATCTATCTATCTATCTATCTATCTATCTATCTATCTATCCATCCATCCATCCATCCATCCATCCATCCATCCATATGATGTGCGAAGTAGGCAACTTCGCACATCACGTAGAGAGATCCATGCATTAAATGGCAATTTCACCCAATGATAATCTAATTAGGTTGTAGATTGCCATAATTGAAATGTTTATCAATATACATAATTAAGATCTAGCCTCCAGTGGTGCAGTGAGTTAAAGCTCTGAGCTGCTTAACTTGCTGACTGAAAGGTTAGCGTTTCAAATCTGGGGAGCGGGGTGAGCTCCCACTGTTAGCCCCAGCTTCTGCCAACCTAGCAGTTCGAAAACATGCAAATGTGAGTAGATCAATAGGTACCACTCTGGTGGGAAGGTGACGGCACTCCATGCAGTGATGCCGGCCACATGGTGTCTACGGACAATGCTGGCTCTTCGACTTAGGATGAGCACCACCCCCCAGAGTCAGACACAGCTAGATGTAATGTCAAGGGGAAACCTTTACCTTTACGATATCAGTTGCAGCAATGTGCAAACTAAACAACTAGGCTGTCACCCATTAAGATCTATGCATTAAATGGGAAATTCAACTTAAAGCTAATTTAACTTCTGACACTTAAATATATTAGAAAGAAAGTAAAGTGCTGGCATTTAGACATATTAAAAGCTCAGACATTACGATGCACCTCTAAGCAAAAACAACAACCACATGAAATAGTTATGCACACTGCCCAGAGGTATACAGATGTACCCAGGACTCCTATGCTCACATTCAATTCCCTGCCAAGGCATAGTTAGTTGCTAAAAGATTTGAAATAATTTGTATTTTTCTATGCCACCCGTGGCCTAGCCTGCCAAAACAGCCACTGGTTGTAAATGTTATTTTCTGGATTGCAACCTGTAGTATCTCTCAGCTTCTGGCAGTCCAAAAAGTAATCTGTCCAAAAGAATGGAAAAATGGCTATAATTTTCTTTTAGAGCAAAGCCTTCTCGAGAGACGTGGGATGCCTGGCGTTGGAATCATCTGTTTTCTCAATGTAAACATTAAGCTTTGGTCTCAGCCTACATTGCTGCCCCAAGCCAAGGCAGAAGGAAGATGTCTTCACACCACAATGCTTGACAAATGGCCACGGAGCAGTGACAGAATGAGGGAGGACAGAAGGAACTTTTCCAATGATTAAAAAAAGGAATGACTTTTCACATCTCACACAAAATTTAAGTATTTATTTGGGGGTTTCTGGAACAAAGTATGCTTTTGGCTGGAGCCGATTGCGTCGTTTTTCCTGAGCTGCTTGCTCCGCTTCTCTCTGCTTGGCTTCCCATTTCTCCATCCCACGATCAATCTCTGCAGAGATCTCAACCACACGACGCTGTGGATGAAATATGGAATCAATACTGCATCCTAGAGAGCATGCTTATCATGACAGAACACACAAATATACCACCTATCTTCTATGTATGTAATAAAGGTCAAAATATGTTTGTATGTATGCATTTTTCAGGGTGTCTCCAATATCCATGGGAGACACCCTGAAAAATATCCAATAGATATGGACCACACATAGCACTCATAACCACCATGACCATCTTAAAATAGATATGGACTACACATAGCACTCATAACCACTATGACCATCTTAAAATACTGGTGGAGTTGGAGGGGGGCGGTAATTGGCTAAGGATGATGTGAGTTGTAGTTCACTGATGAGTTTGTTATGATGGAACACGTTTCCATCATAAGAAACTTAAAATACTGGTGGACTTGGGAGGAGGATGCCCATAGATGATGGGAGTTGTAGTTCACCCACAAAGAATACTCTCAACCTCACTGACAATGGATCTAGATCACACTTTGCACACACGCATCGTGACCAATGTTAAATACTGGAGGAGTTTAGTGGGAAATTGAGACAGGTGATGGAAGTTGTAGTTGTTGGGCGAGTGGGCTTATTAAAAAAATATCCTCCTCATAAATGTATAGCAGAATAACTTGTTAGCAGCAGATTGACCCAGAACCAGTAGCCCAAAGTGATAAAAAGAATAAAACCATACAGACCAATATTATAGTAGGCTTTTCTTTGTAGTAAATTAACATGGTTACACTATTTACATAAACAAGGTCTCTATAACACAAATAAAGTTCTTTATACTTCCTTCTTTGCTTCCACGCTGGGCTGGGTTTCCTCTTACAGAGCCTCTTCTCACACCAAAGGTACACAGGAGCTTTACACAGGAGCTTCACACAGTAGCATTTTACACACAGCAGCCTTCACACTGGAGCAGGCCCATAGCCAGGATTTTGATTCGGGGGGGGGGGGGGGTGCCTGAGTCTGAGTGAAAGAGGTCCCAGCCAATATACCGACTGTTAGGAATTGTGGGACTTGAAGTCCAAAACACCTGGAGGGCCCAAGTTTGCTCATGCCTGCTATAGTAGATGCTGACCATACAAGATGTGTTGGAGGACCTAAATTTCCTAAAAAGGCATTCTCTCTAGGACACTTTGGGTCTTCCAACACAACACTTCGATCAACTTTTGCCAAAACTTCTATTGGAAGTTGGCCAAAAAAGACCCAGAGATTCTTAAGAGAGACCATATCTACAAAAGTGAAGGGTCTGATGTTAACTCATCCAATTTTGAAAAATGATGTCCCAAGCACCGTATGATCCCAACTTACTGCAAGCTCGGCGTTCTTTTCCCTCCGACGGAGATAACCTTTCATTGGGGGAGCAGGTCGCCCATCTAGGGAGAGAAGAGGAAGACGGATGTTAGGGAAGATTGTGACGGCGCGAGTGGCGCCTGCTCTCTGTGCTGGATGAATCCTAAATGTCATATTTTGTACATTTAACAAGACACTAGCTGTCCCCTGCCACGCGTTGCTGTGGCCCACATGGAGGTTCGGTGTGGGAGGTTTGGCCCACCTCTATCGTTGGTGGGGTTCAGAATGCTCTGTGATTGTAGTGAACTATAAATCCCAGCAACTACAATCCCAAATGTCAAGATTCTATTTTCCCCAAACTCCACCAGTGTTCACATTTGGGCATATTGAGTATTCATTCGAAGTTTGGTCTAGATCCATCATTGTTTGAGTCCACTGTGATCTCTGGATGTAGGTGAACTACAACTTCAAAACCAAAGGACACTGCCCACCAAACCCTTTCAGTATTTTCCACTGGTCATGGGAGAACTGTGTGCCAAGTTTGGTTCAATTCCATCATTGATGGGGTTCAGAATGTTCTTTGATTGTAGGTGAACTATAAATCCCAGCAACTACAACTCCCAAATGACAAAATCAATTTTTTGAGTGAAGGACATACATTGGGTTGTTAGGTGTCTTGTGTCCAAATTTGGTGTCAATTTGTCCAGTGGTTTTTGAGTTCTGTTAATCCCACAAACGAACATTATATTTTTATTTATATAGATAATGTTGAAAGGCCAAAATATTATGTAGAATCCACCTTTCTTATTATTTTTAGGAAGGGTAACAACAGTAACAAAAAGGACCGGGCTTTAGCACAGCAGGTAAATCAAAGCTGCAGTAAATCAAAGGGTTGACAGTTCGAAGCACAGGTCAGGGTGAGCTCCTGGACATCAGCCCAGCTCACTGCCCACCTAGCAGACTGAAAGCAGCAATGGGAGTAGATAAATAGGTACTGGGTTAAAGCGGGGATGTATTTAGGCACCCATAAGGTATGCCAGGAAGTTACTGGTGGGACAGTGGGTTAAACCACTGAACTTGTTGATTGAAAGGTCACAGGTTCGACTCTAGGGAGCGGGGTGAGCTCTCGCTTTTAGCTCCAGCTTTTGCCAACCTAGTAGTTCGAAAAAATGCAAATGTGAGTAGATCAATAGGCACCGCTTCGGTGAGAAGGTAACAGCGCTCCATGCAGTCATGCTGACCAGATGACCTTGGAGGCACCTATGGGCAACGCCGGCTCTTCAGCTTAGAAATGGAGATGAGCACCAACCCCCAGAGTGAGACACGACTGGACTGAATGTCAGGGGAAAACCTTTACCTAAGGAATGCCAGAAAAATGCCAGTGATTCGATCGAAAGGACGAAGTTTAGAAACAAAAGCTCTTCAGCAGGGAAGATGGAGTGGCAGCACCTCCCCGTGGCCGGAACTGAACACAGCCTCCAAGATGCTGAAGATGGGAAAGCCTCTATATATACCTTTATGTATGTACAGTCTGTCTTGTTATTGTATAACTGGCATTTAATGTTTGTTGTATATGTGTTCTGTGATCTGCTCTGAGTCCATTTCGGCATGAGAAGGGCGGAATATAAATACTGTAAATAAATAAATAAAAATGATAGAAATAGCCATTTTTCTCACCGGCAAAAGACCAATCAGGCAGGTCTGTTAAAGGTCCATATTCTGAAGGGTTGACAGGGAAACCTTGCCTGCAAGGAAGCACAACACACATTAATACGGCTACAAAAATAATGAGAAAGAATACTAATGGAACTATGTTGGTATTTATAATATATCATGGAAAAATCCCTCTCTATTCTGAACCTCAAACTTGTTGGTTTCAAGCATCATATTGTAATCATTACTACCTAAAGATGCTTCTAAACCCAGATGGGCCATTTAGATGTTGGACTGCAACTCCCATCTGTCCCTTTCCAGCATACTAGTGATGGGCAATGGGAGTTGTAGTGACACAAGAGATCACGGGAGACTGGCAGTCACCAATCCTTGTCCTAAACTTAATGATGCAGATGACCTTGTTTTTATGGAGCCCCCAGTGGCGCAATGGGTTAAACCTATGTGCTGGCAGGACTGCTGACCAATAGGTCAGCGGTTCAAAGAGTGGGTTGAGTTTCCTCTGTCAGCTTCAGCCCCCCATGCGGGACATGAGAGAAGTCTCCCACAAGAATGGTAAAAACATCAAACATCCAGGCATCCTTGGGCAACGTCCTTGCAGATGGCCAATTCTCTCACACCAGAAGCGACTTGCAGTTTCTCAATTCGCTCCTGACATGAAAACCCCTTGTTTTTATATTCTTCTTCTTGAGCTTTGGGGCTATCCTCTCCATCCATGAAGCCATGTGTTCAAATTGCAGGAAAGAATATTCTTTTGGAAAGGCTTTTAGAGACCATAACCCTTTGGAAAACCAGGAATCTCCACAGCCTTTTGGAAGCGTGACCCTTTTGGAGATTAATTGGCATTCACACTATTTGGAATAACCACAACCCTTTTCCTGTGAAGAGTTAAATACTCCTTTGAGTGAATCTTCTCCCTAATGGAAAATATCCACTAGTATTAATGCAAGGTAAATTATGCTTCTCAGTTGTTAGACTGACATACCTGGTTATCTCTCTGAACTGTTAGGAACAAAGATATGCCAATGCACAAAATATATAGCAGATCTTCAGAAGTGTTATTTCAGTTGCCCCAAAACATCTAATCTCCCATAAAATATATTGCCTCTAAATCATGCTCTCAAGAGGCCAAAAATAACTAGTCTTCGTTAAAGGTAACATAGATATATTTACAAACTTTATGTATTCAGCATATAGGTACATTTCTTATTGATACTTTAAACAGTAAGTTCTCTAAAGTTCTGTTTTAGTCTGGTCTCTGTTGCATACAGACTAACACTCTTTTCAGTCAGACACATTACTGAACATTGACTCAATATAGACTGACTACTCACTGCAGCGTACTGACACTGACTGACTTCTAAACTGTACTGCTTCAGAAGTAAACAAACACATACAGGCTTCTAAAATGGAGTCTCAGTCTGAATAGTCCCAGATCTGGTCACATGGTCTGGAGTCCCTCCCACGACCTCAAACAACATAGAGTTCAGGGGAAAACTGCATACTAAATCATATACGTACTAAATCATATACATACAAAATCCAAAACAGTAGATGTGGCTCTTAATGAAATGTGCCACATTATCACGGGGTGTCTGCGCCCTACACCACTGGAGAAACTACACTGTTTAGCCAGTATTGCACCACCTGACATCCGCCAGGAAGTAGCAGCCAATAGTGAAAGGACCAAGGCAGTGACATCTCCAGCTCATCCCCTGTTTGGGTATCAGCCAGCATGTCAACGACTTAAATCAAAATAGTTTTCTAAGATCTACAGAGACACTCGCTAGAACACCTCAGCAAGCGAGAGTCCAAAAGTGGCAGGCTCAATCAATGGCTGATACCAAATGAGAGACTCCCCCCTGGGCACACAGAAAACTGGGCGACTTGGAAGGCACTGAACAGACTGCACTCTGGCACCAAGAGATGCAGAGCCAACCTTCAGAAATGGGGCTACAAATGGAATCCACTACATGAGAGTGTGGAGAAGAGCAAACCACTGACTCCCTGCTGCAGTGCAACCTGAGCCCTGCCACATGCACAATGGAGGACCTTCTAGCAGTAACACCAGAGGCACTCCAAGTGGCCAGATACTGGTCAAAGGACATTTAATGAACTTCCAAGCTTGTAAACTTTGTGTTCTGTTTGTTTGTTTTGTTTGTTAAAAAATGCAATGCAACTGTTTGGTCTGCCCCTGACACGATAAATAAATAAATAAATACAAAATGGTAAGCAATCACTATTATATACACAACAAACAACAAGTATAAGAAGCTTGCAGAAGGTTGCTCTTTCCAACAGAGTCTACCTAAAGAGTAGGAAGGACTTCCTGACACAAAGAGCAGTGGAAATATACTGCATCAGAGTGTGGTGGAGTCTCCTTCTCTGGGGGTTTATAAGCAAGAGGCTGGATGGCCATCTGTCAGGAGGGGTTTGATTCTGTCTTCCTCCATGGAGGGATGGGGTTGGACTGAATGCCCCTTGAGGTCTCTCTCAACTCTACGACTCTTATCAGAGGCTCACCTCACCCTCCATTCGCCACCGGCTTGGTCAACAGCACTGCAATGGATGCTCCGGGTTGCGGAAGCAATTTTGGCCAAGTGAGATCCTAAACGGATTAAGATAGAAAGATAGGAAACATGATTTAATCATCACAAGGCATTGTGCTACTTGAAGCCAACCTTGCAAGGTAAATAAAGACACTACTGTAATTTCATGGAAGACAGAAACAGCTTAGGTTTTCTTGAGGTTTTTAAACAGAGGCAAGATGGCTATCTGTTGGGAGGGCTTTGATTGGGTTTTCCTGCACCGCAGAAGGGAGTTTGGACTGGATGACCCTTGGGGGTCTTTTCCAACTTAATGATCTGAGGAATAAGCCAAGATATAATGCTAAATTTGTGATAGAAGAAAGCAGGTTCATCTTCTGCAGTCAGATTGTTCATTGATAATAATACTAAATATTATAATGCCAGACTTGTGTGGTGTTTAGAAGCTTGAATACAGTCAACACACATTTTGGTGCTTGAGATGTTATCCCTCTTTCTAGGTATATTTGACCTGCTGATTAGAAAAATGACACCAGTTTCCGCCTATCAGCTCTAGTTTTTGACATACGTATAATACGCTATATGCCACTCTTCATAGAATCCCATGCTAATATCTATAACTAAGAAACTAGAGCTGATGTGGTCTATCCAATGCAATTTTTCTCAATCAGTGCCCCAAATAACCCCAGGAACAGGACTAAAAACCAAGTCATCTAGACTTATTTTTTGGCTGGGCTGTATAATAATAATAGTAATAATAATAATAATAATAATAATAATAATAATAATAATAGACAGATCCCAAATGTAGACTCTGCAAAGAAGCAGACGAAACAATAGATCACATCCTCAGCTGCTGCAAGAAGATCGCGCACAGACTATAAGCAGAGGCATAACACCCTTGCTCAGAGGATTCATTGGAACTTGTGCCACAAATCCCATCTGCCTGGGACAAAGAACTGGTGGGATCACAAGCCTGAAAAAGTTACAGAGAATGAACACGTCAAGTTACTCTGGGACTTCCAAATTCAGACTGACAGAGTTTTGGAGCACAATACTCCTGACCTCACAATCGTGTTAAAAAACAAAGTATGGATCGTTGATGTTGCAATCCCAGGCAACAGCAGGATTGAAGAGAAACAACTGGAAAAGCTGACACGATATGAGGATTTAAAGATCGAACTGCAAAGACTCTGGCACAAGCCAGTCAAGGTGGTCCCAGTGGTGATCGGCACACTGGGTGCAGTGCCTAAAGACCTTGGCCTGCACTTAAACACAATCAGTACTGACAAAATTACCATCTGTCAGCTGCAAAAGGCCGCTCTACTGGGATCTGCATGCATTATTCGCCAATACATCAGACAGTCCTAGATACTTGAGAAGTGTCCGACGTGTGATCCAATACAACAGTCAGCAGAGTGGTCTTGTCTGCTGTGGACTCATCTTGTTGTGTTTCAAATACTACTACTACTACTACTACTCATAATAATCATCATCTTGTTTTTATATCTTGACTGAGAGGCAAAACAAACTGACAACATTTAAGAAATGTGATTTAATTGGGTTGCTGTGAGTTTTCTGGGCTGTATGGCCATGTTCCAGAAGCATTCTCTCCTGACGTTTTGCCCACGTCTATGGCAGGCATCCTCAGAGGTTATGAGGTCTGTTGAAAACTAGGCAAGTGGGGTTTATATATCTGTGAGAATGTCCAGGGTGGGAGAAAGAACTCTTGTCTGTTGGAGGCAAGTGTTAATGTTGCCATGGGCCACCTTGATTAGCATTGAATGGCCTTGCAGCTTCAAAGCCTGGCTGCCTGCTGCCTGGGAGAATCCCTTGTTGGGAGGTGTTAGCTGACCCTGATTGTTTCGACAAAGAATGTAATTTAAGATCAACAACATACACATATTGGAAGAGAATTGAACATACAAGTCAATTACAGTGACTTAATACACTGAAAACCTGTTTTCCCTTTTAAACCACTGTTTGCCTGGAAATAAACCCCAGAGTGCAGTCTTTGAAATATGTATCATATGCCATATACCACTCTTAAAAATAATAATAATAGAAAACCATGCTATAACTAAAAAATTAGAGCTGATGCGGTCGATCCGATGTAAGTTTTTCGGGCTGTATGGCCATGTTCCAGAAGCATTCTCTCCTGATGTTTTGCCCACATCCTATGGCAGGCATCCTCAGAGGTTGTGAGGTCTGTTGGAAACTAGGCAAGTGGGGTTTATTTAGCTGTGGAATGTCTAGGGTGGGAGAAAGAACTCTTGTCTGTTTGAGGCAAGTGTGAATGTTGCCATTGGTCGCCTTGATTAGCCTTGAATGGCCTTGCAGCTTCAATGCCTGGCTGCTTCCTGCCACATCAGCACTTTTAATCTTGTACCCATTACTCTGGCCCGGCCCAGTTTTATAGTGTCTTGATGTGTTGTTTATTGCTTGTTGTTTATACTGCTTAACTGTTTTTTAATTTGCTTTAGGTGTATTGTTGTGTTGTGTTTTGAGGCCTTGGCCTATGTAAGCCGCATCGAGTCCTTCGGGAGATGCTAGCGGGGTACAAATAAAGTTAATAATAATAATAATAATAATAATAATAATAATAATAATAATGTTGCCAGTGGTCACCTTGATTAGCATTGAATGGCCTTGCAGCTTCAATGCCTGGCTGCCTGCTGCCTGGGAGAATCCTTTGTTGGGAGGTGTTAGCTGGCCCTGCTTGTTTCGTCAGTACAATGTGATTTAAGATCAACAACATACACATATTAGACGAGAATCATACATACAAGTCAATTACAATCACTTAACACACCGAAAACCTGTTAAAATAATCAACACAAAATAACTAAGGAAGTAGAAATCATGTTTAATGGAAGGGCAACTGGCAAGGTCATTTAGTTCCAGGAAGTTTTTTAGAAAGTCTGGAGGATGCTGTGGTTTTAGTTATGAACAGGTTTTTAATTGGTTTTAAGGGTTTGAACAGTTTATTTTGAAATACTATTAATTTTATTTCAATTAGGGGCTTGCCTCTGGGTGCATCTACACTGTAGAATTGATGTGGTTTGAAACCACTTCAACTGCAATAGTTCAATGCTATGGAATCCTAGGATTCATATTTTGGTGAGGTCCTAACCCTCTTTGGCAGAGAAAGCTAAAGGCCTTGATGAACTACAACTCCCAGGATTCCATATCATTGAGCCAGAGCAGTTAAAGCGGTACTAAAGTGGATTAATTCTATAGTGTAGAGGCAGCTGGGTTTTCCTACTGTGTCCACACAAGCATAGGTTTATTCTATCAAACCTCCCCCATAGCATTGAGCCATTGCAGTTAAAGCGGTATCAAACTGGATTAATTCTATGGTGTAGATGCAGCTGGTTTTTCCTATTGTGTACACACAAGCATAGGTTTATTGTATCAAACCTCTCCCATAGCATTGAGCCATTGCAGTTAATGCGGTATCAAACTGGATTAATTCTACAGTATAGATGCAGCTGGGTTTTCCTATTGGGTGCACACAAGCATAGGTTTATTCTATCAATTCTCCCCATAGCATTGAGCCATTGCAGTTAAAGCGGTATAAAAGTGGATTAATTCTACAGTGTAGATGCTGCTGGGTTTTCCTATTGTGTACACACAAGCATAGGCTTATTCTGCTAAACCTCCCCCTCCCCAACAACGCTATTCTTTTCTCCCCGGCTAATGAATCCATACCGATTCTCTGGGTCACGCACACTGCCATCCTGACGACAGGAAACGAGCTCAGTCCCATGTGTTTCAAAGGATCCGTACGGAAGGAACACCACTGGGGGCCGCCATTTTAAAAGGGCAGGGCGCCGCCATTTTAAAATAAACGCTACGAAGGGCGCCGCCATTTTGAAACGTTGTGCCTCAGTCTTTTTCCTACGCTTCTGTTACAGGAAAGGCCATAAACCTGAAGCGTAGGGCGGGGCTTAGGTCGCACCCCGCCATCTTGTGTATTGGTTGCTAGGGAAACCGTTGCCCTTGGTAACGAAGTAGCAGACAGTTTCCAAGCAGGATAAGAACAAGGACAACAATAGTTGTTATATAGATAATTGTTAATAAATTAAAGGATTTAGATGTGGAGTATTCCTTTCCTGAAATGCTTTGGACCCAGAAGTGTTTTGTATTTAATTTCACATGTTTTGGGGATTTTGGAATTTCTGCATTTTCATAAAATTGGTTATTTTGGAAATAAATAGGACTCAAATTACTCTTCCTAGCTTTTAAAAGTCCTAAGAAATTAATGGGCTGCCATTAAGACAACTGAGGCCCCTTCCACACAGCTGAATTCAGAACTACATTTGAACATGCAAAGAGCTGCAGCAGAATCATTTCTAGCTGAAGAGGAATTCAGTATGATCTGGAAGGTTGCCATATTTTTCTTTAAAGAAAGGGTGAAGCTCCTTCTCGTGAGGTTTTTAAACAGGGGCAAGACGGCCATCTGTTGGGAGGGCTTTGATTGTGTAATCCCGCACGGCAGAATGGGGTTGGACCATAATCATAAGGCTGCCTTAGGACTAGATTGCCCTTGGGGGTCTCCTCCAATTCTATGATGAGAGTCGGAAGCGACCCCAAGACCATCAAGTCTAATCTTGTTCTGCTATTTAGGAATACAACCAAAGCACTCCTGACAGATGAGCATTTATTTATTTCATGAATTTCCGGAAGGGGACTCAGGGCGGCCTCACACAAGCATCATAGGATGCTATCAGTATATAAACAATTAAAAATTACATTTAAAACATTAAAAATAATTGAAAACACATTATACAATTCATTAAACAATAAATTAAAACCAAATCCAAGTCAGGGTAAATCCAGCGTCACAGGTATTCTAAGTTTCTTTCCAATTGCCGCTGTCCACTAATCGAACGTCTGGTCCCAAAGCCAAGTCTTCAATTGTCTTCTAAAGGACAGGAGGGAGGTGACCAACTTGATGTCCTTAGGGAGAGAGTTCCACAGACTGGGGGTCACTGCCGAGAAGGCCCTGTCTCTCGTCCCCACTAACCGCGTTTGTGACAACGTTCCACAGAAAGAGAGATCACAACAACCTTGCTGGTGCCTATTTTAACTTTAACTCTACTACTTGTTATGTAAACATATATAATATATAAACATATATAATGTGAATACTTAATTTTTTTTCCAGGCATAACTGCAGTGTTTCTCAACCTTTCTAATGCCATGACTCTTTAATACAGTTCCTCATGTTGTGGTGACTCCCAACCGTAAAATTATTTTCGTATGCTACTTTATAACTGTCATTTTGCTACTGTTAAGAATTGTAATATAAATGTCTGAGATGCAGAATGTATTTTCATTCACTGGACCAAATTTGAATACTGGTGGTTGGGGGGGGGGGGGGATTTTGTCATTTGGGAGTTGTGGTTGCTGGGATTTGTAGTTCACTTGCAATCAAAGAGCATTCTGAACTCTACCAACGATGGAATTGAACCAAACTTGGCACACAGAACTCCCATGGCCAACAGAAAATACTGGAAGGGTTTGGTGGGCATTGACCTTGAGTTTTGGAGTTGTAGTTCACCTTCATCCAGAGAGCACTGTGGACTCAAACAATGATGGATCTGAACCAAACTTGGCACAAATACTCAATATGCCCAAATGTGAACACTGGTGGAGTTTGAGGAAAATAAACCTTGACATTTGGGAGTTGTATTTGCTGAGATTTATAGTTAACCTATAATCAAAGAGGATTCTGAACCCTACCAACAATGGAATTGGGTCAAACTTTCCACACAGAACTCCCATGGCCGTCAGAAAATACTGGAAGGGTTGATGGGCATTGAGTTCTGGAGTTGTAGTTCACCTACATCCAGATAACACTGTGGACTCAAACAATGATGGATCTGGACCATCATTGTTTTGGTGTTGTAGTTCATCTACATCCAGTTCACCTACAATTGAAGAGCATTCTGAACCCTACCAACAATGGAATTGGGTCAAACTTTCCACACAGAACTCCCATGGCCGTCAGAAAATAGAGTTGAGTTCACCTATATCTGGAGTTGAGTTCACCTACATCCAGATAACACTGTGGACTCAAATAATGATGGATCTGGATCTGGATCTGGACCATCATTGTTCTGGTGTTGTAGTTCATCTATATCCAGTTCACCTACAATCGAAGAGCATTCTGAACCCTACCAACAATGGAATTGGGTCAAACTTTCCACACCGAACTCCCATGGCCATCAGAAAATAGATGGCCATGACATTTGGGAGTTGTAGTTGCTGAGATTTATAGTTCACCTACAATCGAAGAGCATTCTGAACCCTACCAACAATGGAATTGGGTCAAACTTTCCACACAGAACTCCCATGGCCGTCAGAAAATACTGGAAGGGTTGATGGGCATTGAGTTCTGGAGTTGTAGTTCACCTACATCCAGATAACACTGTGGACTCAAACAATGATGGATCTGGACCATCATTATTTTGGTGTTGTAGTTCATCTACATCCAGTTCACCTACAATTGAAGAGCATTCTGAACCCTACCAACAATGGAATTGGGTCAAACTTTCCACACAGAACCCCCATGGCCAACAGACAATACTGTGTTTTCTGATGGTCTTTGGTGACCCCTCTGAAACCCCCTTGCAACCCCACCCCCAAGGGTCCTGACCCACAGGTTGATAAACACTGTGCTAGATAACTAAGAGATGTGGTGCAATTTCCTTCTAGAAACAGCTGATGCCTTTTTATTTTCCACTTTTGTTTTTTACTGGCAGAGAAAAGCAAGCTTTTGGTATAGACCAGTGGTTCTCAACCTGGGGTCCCCAGATGTTTTTGGCCTTCAACCCCCAGAAATCCTAACAGCAGGTAAACTGGCTAGGATTTCTGGGAATTGTAGGCCATAAACATCTGGGGACCCCAGGTTGAGAACTACTGATCTATACAAAACACTGTATTGCACTCTACTCCAGTCAAAGAACTCTGTGTGGCTTGGGGAAGGAAACACTGCTCCTGCTGCTACTGCTGGAGAGAGAAAGTGATCCAAGGGGAAGGAAGCATGTCTGTCGTCTTGAGGAAGCTGCTTGCTACTGTTCCCAGAGGGCATGGCCATGGGGAGATCTGCCAGCCCCTTATCTCCTGTCCTGGAGGTAGGCTCCCCCTGCCCCCACCTGGCACCAGGCGGACCTTGGACTTAGTCAATGGCTCATCCTCCAATAACCCCCCCTTGCTCTCCACCCCCCCTTGCAACCCTTAGTTAGTTCCTCAAGTTAAAAGTGCTGTCCTGACAACTTCGTTCTCTTTATTTCCTAAGCCGGCTTGGAGTCGGTTGGCTGACACAGACCTGGAGTGAAGGGGACTGAACCAAACCAAACCGGTGAGTACCTATCAATGTGTATCTCTCTCATCATCCCCAGCAATGTTTGTTCCTAACACATACCTGTGCAGAGAAATTTAATGTCTCAGGACACTCAATCATCATTTGCCATTCTGTGCTCTCTTTTCCCCAAAGCTTTAACTCTCAGTCCTTGTGCTCTAGCTACTAGGCAACACTTTCTACTCCTTTGACAGAATGGGGGGAAATATCCACCTGGTTCCCCAAATCTTAGGCCCCATCAACACTGCCATATAATGCGGTTTACTTGCATCAAACTGGACTATATTTATTTATTTATGACATTTCCTGCCTTTCTCAAACTTGAAAGTGACTCAAGCTGGCTTTACAAAATAGGCAGCATTATATGTGTCTACATTGCCATACGATGTAGTTAAATTGCATCGTATGGCAGTGTAAATAAGGGCTCAGTTCACCCAAATAAGTCTATTGCAACGTTTTGAGTATAGTGATAACACCTACTGAAGTTTAATCACTTTGCTAGTGAATCCTTTTTAAAAAAAAATATGTACAGATATTTGAATGACTGAAAACATATGTAGAGATGTTTTCAGTCATTCAAAACTAGGTCTGAATTCTCCCTATTTGGGAGGCAAAGGAATGTATGTGTCTCAATCTTAATGCTTGCCTTTACAGCAGGCATGCGCAAACTTTGGCCCTCCAGGTGTTTTGGACTTCAACTCCCACAATTCCTGTTAGGAATTGTGGGAGTTGAAGTCCAAAACACCTGGAGGGCCAAAATTTGTGCATGCCTGCTGTAAAGGCAAGCATTAAGATAGGCGGTTAGGAATTGTGGGAGTTGAAGTCCAAAACACCTGGAGGGCCACAGTTTGCCCATGTCTACTCTACAGTATCGGATTGCAAGTTGAGTATCCCTTATCTACAATAATGGGAACCAGAAGTGTTTTGGATTTATTTTTGTATTTGAAATACTTGCACATAATGAGACACCTTAAAGATAAGACTCCAGTCTAAACACAATGTTCTTTTATGTTTTTCATACAACTTAGAGTCTGCTGGTATTTTTTTATGCAGTAATTATAATTTAATAATTATTTAATTTAATTATTTAATAATTATTTAATTTAATTATTTAATAATTATTTAATAATTTAATAATTAACAATGTTGTGCGTGAAACAGAATTTGTGTACACTGAATAATCAGAAAGCAAAAGTGTCACTCATGAGCAATTTGGTGTTTTGGAATTCCAGATAAAGGATGTTCAACCCAATTGTCTGCATACCTGAGTAAGTGAGGAAGATCCTCAGCCTTCTAACCTCCCCAAATTTTCCCCCAAATTTTACAGGGCCTGGTGCCTCCTAGAGGCAAGGTTTGTGACTGCGCTACCCATCTCCCTGGCAAGCCATGGCCAACACCACCGACTCCGTGGCGGCTGCCCAGGATGACCGCCCGGCCAAGACGGTACCCAACGGAACCCCCACTTCATCTGACCAGTCTTCTGAAGACTCCATGAAGCTGAAGAAGGAAATCTCCCTGATCAACGGGATCAGCTTGATTGTGGGCAACATGATTGGCTCGGGCATCTTCGTCTCCCCCAAGGGGGTCCTGATGCACAGCGCATCTTACGGCCTCTCCCTCATTGTCTGGGCCTTGGGGGGACTTTTTTCCGTCTTTGGGGCTCTCTGCTATGCCGAACTGGGCACCACCATAAAAAAATCTGGGGCCAGCTATGCCTACATTCTGGAGGCCTTCGGGGAGCTGCCGGCTTTCATCCGGCTCTGGACATCCCTTCTTATTATCGAACCTACCAGCCAAGCGGTTATTGCCATCACCTTTGCCAACTACCTGGTGCAACCTTTCTTCCCTTCCTGTGAGGCCCCTTACCTGGCCAGCCGGCTCTTTGCAGCTGCCTGCATCTGTGAGTACCATTGGCAGGGACACTTTCGGAAAGTGTCAAGTTAGAGAGTGCCGTTTTCTTCAAATTTTATTACTGCTAGGGAGGATTTGGGTGAACTGGTGGATTGGTGTATTTAGGAAACCATCTTCTTTTGGACTGCAACTCCTAGCTTCTCCCAACAGCTTGATCGCAGGGGATTTTAGAAATTGTAGTCTTCTTTCACACACAAAATTTTTCAGCATCCCAGAGCAAGCCTGTGCTGTGGGGCGGGGCAGGGCAGGTCTTTTGAAAATAAAAAGCCCCTTGCAATGCCAAGGTTCATTTGAGCTTCCGGTAGGTTGAAGGGCAATCTCTTTTTTTTTTTTGCCCTCACCCACCCTATCTAATCTGTCATTTTTCCTTTATCTTTTCTTTGACCTTCCAACCCGCCCTGTGCAATGCTTGCCTTCCTTGGCCATGGTTTTGAATCTATGTGCTCACACAGCAGTTAAGAGGAAAGAACATGAAAGCATTCACTTTTTTGACCTTATTAGGGCCCTTCCACACAGCCATATAACCCAGAATATCAAAGCAGAAAATCCCACAATGTCTGCTTTGAATGGGGTTATCTGAGTCCATACTGTCGTATATTTATTTGTTTATTTATTTATTTACAGTATTTATATTCCGCTCTTCTCACCCCGCAGGGGACTTAGGGCAGATTAGAATGCACATATACATGGCAAACATTCAATGCCATAGACATACAATATATATAGACAGACACAGAGGCAATTTAACATTCCAGCTTTCTGGCTTTATGAGGATATGCTCAATTTTGGCCACAGCGGGAGCTGCTGCTTCACCGTCCACTTGTGACATCAAGTCCTTGATGGAGTACTTCCTCATTCTTAGGCACGCTGCTGGAAGGTTTCACGGTATCGTAAATTAGTTAAATTAGCCTCCCCGCATAAAGCGGTATGTAAATTTCCTACTTGACAGATGCAACTGTCTTTCGGGCTGCATAGGTCAACAGCGAGCTAGACTGCTAATGGTCAGGAGCTTACTCCAACTCGGGCTGGCTTCGAACTTATGACCTCTCGGTCAGTTGTGATTTAATGCAGCTGGCTACTAACTAGCTATGCCACAGCCTGGTTCATCAGTTATATTCCAGTTCAAAACAGAAAATGAGGAATTTTATTCATCTGTGTGGAAGAGGCCTTAGAAAATCCCCTTGGGCCTGAGACCCAAGGATCCTGGTTCCTAACATTGCCCCTGGCTATTCTTTTCCACCCTTGGCCCAGGTTTGGGAGACAAAGCCCTCCTTCTAAGCATTAGATGAGTTTGTTTTCTTAGATTAGATCAATTTCTGGCTCCCAACCCCTCGGGCTAATCTTGTTTCTCTGGTTGATTAGAACATACGAATCAGATATCCAGGATTAGCCTCTCAATGGTGGTTCCTGTGGGTTTTTTTTAATCAGTTGTTTGTTTTCTGAGCCTTTTTAAAAGACTAAACCAGGTGAAACTTTCCCCTTGTACTTCCAAGCCGGAGCTGTGCTTCACCAGTTGGATTTTTCCCTGAAGCGATAGAATGATCCTGCTAAAGGGAAAGGTGGCAACCTTCAAAACTGCTATTCCCCCTTTGTGGCAGCCTCCTACGCTTCCTTTCTGCTCTTTCAGAGGTCTAGAGAGAAACCAGGAGTTAATATCTAAGTTCCTTTTGTTTTGTGACACAAGGTGACCCAAGAAACAAAGACGTCGGGCATATACAAGTCTGTGCATGTGGGCAACCAACATTTCAAACTTGCCTGGAGGTTGCTGTTGCCTTGGTATGCCAGAGATAAACATTAGTTAACCAACAAGGAGGAAAAGACACTCGGCACATGCTCAGAAGGACTCTATTTTTCACATTGTTCTTTCTGACTCAGGGTCTCGTGATTTCCAGCTCGAGTTGCTCCATGTAGCATCTCTCTCTCTCTCTGTTCCTCTTTGTTCCCTGCGGGTAATTCTGGGTCTCTCTCAGGAAGCGAGGACTTCAGCTGAGGGCCAGCCAGTATGCTGAATCGGCAACTGTTGTCTGGATCCAGCTGGTGAGAAATGCAAGCGTCAGGCTCGCCCCAAAACCGCTCCCGTTGCAACACACAGGAATGCGCTGCCCAAAGAAGCCTGGGGCCTCTGGGTCAGACGTGAAAGATGGTTGTGGTGGTGGAGAAATGGGCTGATACGCTGGATTCAGGAAACTGCTGTCTTCAAGCAAAGAGGGATGCAAATGTTTAGGGTAAAGAGTAAAAGCAAGAATAACATATACTTAATATTTATATGCTCTCCCCCTGCATCATTCCCAAGTATCCCAAATACTTGGGATCATTCTGCATCATTCCCAAGTATCCCAAATATTTATTTATTTACGATATTTATAGCCTGCCTTTCTCAGCCCTACGGCGACTCAAGCCGGGTTACAGATTGGCACAATTCGATGTCAGGCATTAATAAAAGTGCCATTAAAAACAATCAACATTACAATATATTTTAGATGTATGAATTTGGTAAAACTCTGAAAAGTAGGCTAGCATCATTACTGGAACTGGAATAAGTGTTTTTGCAAAGCAATTCCTAATTGGTATATTGGGCAGGGGCGGCTCAATCCATTACACAAATTAAGCATTTGCAGTATACTTGATTTTGCCCAAGGGTGCTCTTGAGCGCTCTTGGGGGAAAATAGACCTTGACATATGCGAGTTGTAGTTACTGGGATGTATAGTTCACCTACAATCAAAGAGCATTCTGAACTCCACCAATGATGGAATTGAACCAAATATGGCACACAGAACTCCCACACCGAACAGAAAATATATATCAGTGATTTGGGGAGGGGGGCGCCAAAATACTGTTTGCTTACCTTTGAAAATTACCTAGAACCACCTCTGTTCACGGGATTCTGAGCATTGTAGTCCTGAAGAGCAACCTTTCCTAGCCCTGGTTATTATTCCCATTTTAGAGATGTGGAAGCTGAATTTGAGAGACTGGGAACATATCTTGAGGCTACCATGAAAGTTTTTGTCTGAGCTGAGATTCTTCTCACCAGCGATAGCTCATAGATATTGTTCTTAACCATTATTTTGCCCAAATCTTTGTTTTGTCTGGAAAATCATTGCCAAAACTGGTGGGTTCACTTTGCAAATCGAACCTCACCTCAATTTGTCTAGAGAAGAGCTGTTTGATCATGCATAGAGCTCCCATTGGCATTGGGATTTTGCAAATAAATAAAATGTAAAATCCAACATAACTGGCAACCCATGGATTCATTAAAAACATTGAAAGTCAAAAAAAAAAAAGAAAAGAAAAGAAAAGAAAAGAAAGCTGTTGCTTAGAGCCCTGTGCTTCCATTTAAAGTTGAAGTCCATGCAATTGAGATGGGGGTGGTTGATAGAGGAGCAGGTAGCATAGGAAAGGATGGGAACTTTGCATTGCCACAAAAGGAAGCCTGAGACCATGCCCAGAAATGGCATATTATTTGAATAATTGCCAGAGCCATGAGGAAACAAGCAGAGTTTATGTTCGCCACGAAGTCTCGGTTCTGAGCGTGTTCCAAGTCTGATAAGAGTGTGGAATTTATTGCCTTGTTTATAGAGAAGTTGAGTGATGTTTTTGAGGCGTCCCCAATTTCCCCTTTCCTCCCCTCCCCATAGAAAAAATGTACCCTGGACCTGGAACAAGAAAGAGTAGCTGAGGTTGGTGTGTGTTTGTGTGTGTATGAATAGGTAAGTACAGTCTTTGCTTTGATTGCACACCATCTCCTCACTCCCATGCCGCCCTACCCTGGACTTGGATGTCTGGCACTAAGCCGGATCCCTCATTAGCCCCTTGAGTCACAACAACTTGTTCCAGGAATAAAGATCAAGGTTAGACTCTGATAGTATATAAAAGAAAGCAGAAGAAGGATCAGAGAGTAACTTCAATGCCTCTCCCACCCCTCAGGATTCTGCCGGGAATGCCTCCCTCTGTAATGTTTTAACTCTCAGTGTTTGTTCACTTGTTATCGCACTCATTGCTATTGTTTTTGCATGCAAAGAATTGCGTCTGGTTTCTTGAGTGAAAGAAGGAGAAGCGGCACTAGGTTTTTGAGCCAAATTTTTGCCTTTGAGGGGCCACACTGATTTCCCACAAATGGGAAAAGCTCCATACTAGCCCATTCATATACAGGTAGTCTCTGAGTTACAAACATCTGGCTTACAAACTACTCAAAGTTAGAAACTGGGTTGAGACAACAGGAAGTGAGAGAAATCTATCCCTCAGAATGAAAATGCACTCCTGAAAGAGTTATCATGGGGAAAAGGTGTCTCCACTGAAGCTTTACCACCACTCCTTGTTTCCACAACAAGATAAATTTTTCAAAATCCAATTATCACAGGGACAGAAAGGGCGCTTTCAGACAGCACTAAATGACAAGCTCCTGGGATTTCTGCCTTTGTTGTCCAGACTTGATACTTTTCTGCTTTTAGGGGCTCCCAAGATGGCTGGTGGAGGACTTCTGCCAGAACCCTCAGCAGGTGTTTTTAAAAAACTCTGAGATGCGAATATTCGGAGGTCCAGATATGTGGATCATTGCAAAGATTCCATTCTTTGTCTTAACCAGAGAAACTGTGACCTCCACACATTTCATGAAGTTTCTGGCACATAAACAAAGTTTTTACCTTTTACTCAAGTGTCACCTTCTTTTTAGAAACTGACCAATCAGGAACAAACATCTAAAACCCGGGAACAAACCTAGATAAAACAAATCCCGTGATTTCCAGTAGCAGTGACATACAGACATTCGAAGATGCATATATTCATCTCAAAACCACGATAATCCTGCACCTGGAAATCTCGCATTGTTTGCAGGGAATGGTGCGTAAACTCCTGGGATAAAGGTACTGTCTGGACGAGCCCAAAGTGAGGTGAAATCTTCTGAACAGGAGTTCAGCTAAAAATATAGATATTTGGCTGGAGGTATCCCTAAAAATGTGCCTGTTCCAACTTACATATACAATCAACTTGAG